AAAAGAACAGTACAGGGTGGTCCAAGACTGGGGGTGATACAGAGGGGAGGGTGGATGTGACGTGAACATCTGGAGAAAATACTGGAGGCTATCAAGACTTCTTATGCAGAAACTTGCAGGAGTCTGGGCAAGAACTGAGGTTAGCTTGGGCTGTGGTAATGAGAGAGGTGGGGTTCAAAAGGATTTGAGAACTATTCACAAGCCCTGCCTCCATGAGTTGCCAATCTGACTGATCAGATCATAGAACATTTACTAGGCCACACCCAGCAGTGAGTAAGGTCATTTTCCATTAACTGGTCACACATGTAGACATGGTTCTTTGTTCCTATGCAACTGGGGTAAAGAAAGGGCTGGGACCTACTTGTTCACTGATCAAGTCCTGGCTGTACTGTTCCTCACTCTTCTCACATATTGAGATGCTCTCATATCTCTCATAAGGCCCCAAGGGGAAGGAAACGCTCTAGGGGCCTGTGGTCCTGGTGACACTGTCTGGCCCATTTCTGCATGAGGGTATGGGAAACAGGTCCAGCACTTAAGATAGCTTGTATCCTACTAGCCATTGGTCCTTGTGTGGATTTCTTTTGGGAATCTTGTTGTAAGTTTGTGGTTGAATGCAGAATCCAGCATTTCCATTTCCAGGCTTCCTGACCATAGCATCATCTTAATGCCATCAAATGTCCACCACCACTTCTAGTACTTTCACTGCTGCCTCTTTTATCCCATAACACTGTTCATTCACTCACTGTTATCTGCTTATGTGTGAGGCATGGATCTATATTCTGTAAACAAAATGCCTTCAAGGAGTCTACCAACGAACCTAGGCATCCAGAGTCTTTTCCTGATGAACAATTAGTTTTGAATTCTCTGGAAATAGTAATACTAAAAAACATGTATGATAAATAAATCTAACTTGTATGAAAAGCCAGGCATTGCACACTGTCTAGCTGTTTCTGACTGATATATACCTGTTATGGCCCATACATACAGCCATTTAGGAGGAAGAAAATAAAGGAGATAAACAGAAATGGTGAAAGAAAAATAAAAAGGTGACTGGGCAGGCCTCCCGCATCCAGACACACATCACTCCCTCCCAGCTGGTGAGGCTGGCTGTGCTCCTCCAATCTTCCTGTCCATGACTCTGATTTGGCCTCAGGGGCAGCCGGGTCCCTGCACATTATTAACCAAGAGCTTAGGATTCAAAAGTTCAATATATTCTTGCTTTTGTAGAATGATTTCTTTTCCCTGAAAGTCTACTGACTTTGTTTTCACTCACAGTAACACAAATGTTCCATCCTTTCCAGGGTCTCAGATAATGAAATCGTAACTTCACAAAATTTTTGTCACTTCCACCTCACTAAGTAGTTATTCTTTGCTGGTCAATTAAATCCAGACAGGTAGATCCTCTCATAGCTACTTTAATCTTTTGAAAGACATAGTCAGCAAGTCAGGAATGTATTCCATGTGCCGCTTTACACAAAATTAAGCTTGCAACATCTGTCCAACTCTGTTTCATCTTGCCTTTGTGTTCTAAAATCTAAACTAGGGAGTATCTATTTGTGCTTTTATAGTTTACAAATTATCTCAAATGACTTGTCACAGCAACTCTTACAGGGATTATTATGCCCATCTTACAGATGAAGAAAACAGACTCAGGAAAGGTAAGCAATTTGGACAGTGTTACACAGGTAGATCCAGGTGGAGCCAGAATTTGGAAGGTCTAAATTCCTTATTTCACTGCTCCTTATCTGAAGAGTACCAAACTGTACTCCTGCTGTCTCACAATTATCATTGGCAAAGTCACACACAGCTTACTTAAAGCTGTCCCAGGCAGCACCAGTTATGCTGTCCTGGCATGCCATCACCTGCCCCCAGATCCTGAGGGCCAGCTCCACAAGCTGCTCAGACAACTCTCAGCCCAAGTCTCCTGTGGAGTCCTGAGATGTTCTGAACACATTTATTCAGTTGTGTCCTCTTCCTAACATTTACTTTTGTACTCCAGCAATCAGTCTTAACCTTCATTACTGCCATGGAAAAAAGTTACATGATAGTACTGCAGTTCCCACAAAGAAAACAAAGGAAAACTACCATATTGGAGGTTTAAAGATACATTTTACAGTGACCCAAACACATCGAAGGAAACAGCTAAGGAAAAGATATCAGATGATCAGGGGCTAGTGGAAGTTATCTGACATGAAGAGTATCATAATAATAGTCTGGGAGTAATGGCCAGTCAGGTGTTATTTCTGGGTACTTAAAAAATACTAATACCATTCTGTGAAGACTGCTAGAATGACTAAAAGCACTGGCCTGCCTACTGCCAGGAAAGCATCCTCCAACATCCATTGCCAAACCCCCAGTGAGAGAGGTGATTCTCTCCTCCATTTTCACCCTCAGGTTGGTGAATCCCTATAGAGTATTCATCTTCCTTTTTTGAAATAGGTCAGTTCCCTCTGAATAAAGCCTACTGTCTCATTTCCACAGCCCAGGTTTGAATCCTATCCATAATCCTATTCAATACTACTTGATATTTTAATTAGGGGATGATTTTTAACAATGGTTTCTTATTTCCACTGTATTTATCTGTATATTTCTATCTTCTGGAACCTACTAAAACTCTCCAGAAAACTATCCTAAAATAAGACTACTACTTACTCATTCGTTGAGAAATGACATATCCTAACACTGAATATTTGCTTTAATAATCTAAAGTACAACCCTGCATCCTGAAGTTGATACCATCCTGTAGTTGACACCTTTCAGATGTTCATAAAAAGATACTAGTAGCTTCAATCACCTATTTCCATCTAGCACAACTCCTGTTACTAAGTAGGTGATCAATGCTAAATACTATACCCTCACAAGAATTCAAACCAACAAAATAGTTACTATCACAGATAATATACATTGTTTGGCCCCTTTCATCACCTTGACACAGGCATCATGGCTTCAGATTATTAAGAATGGTATAAGCTAGAAAAAATTAAGAAAGCAACAACTTTAAAAGTTCATATGGATAAATATGCAAAGGCTCAAATGTCCTCTATTTCACAATTCAAGTCCATTTCTAAGCTTGAGTTTTTCCAGTAATTCGGAAAAACCCCTTTGAAAATGTCACTCATTTACAGTATCACATTTCACATTCCAGTTCTTATTCACAGGGCTATATATCTGCATGAGTGTGTTTGTAAAATGTTTTTTTTACTAGAAATGTCCTTTAAGGACATTTAAAAATGACTAAAGAACTAAAATAATGAGACTCTAAATTTACCTTTAGTTCACTTAAAACTTCTGCTCCACTGCTTCTTTATCCATCAAATGAAAACAATTATTCCAATATCCTACTAGTTTCATCAAAGTGGGGGGAAATGCAATCATCAAAATCTTCATACTTTGTGCCTGATAAATTTTCAAGTAAGATTCGATAACAAACATATATTAAGTCAAGTGACTTCAATTTTTCCTGCAGTCTTCAGAAGGTGGGAGAACGACCATGAACAGTTCGCATGTATCTCACTGGCCCTCTCCCTTCCATAACTCATAATTCAAGAAAAAGTGTGATCTAAGCAAGCTTTAGATTATCGGTGGTATTATGATGTATAACTGGTTAAAGCACCATGCTAATAAACTCATCATGGTCTTAGGATTAATCTTTGCAAAAGCCAGTTCATTTCTATTTGTCTCAAGGACCCAGACAGACTGCACTCCAGCTTTCAGACAGCTTCAGACAGCTTTCTTACAATGTGTCCCACTGGTCACAAAACAGGGAGGGAGTACTGGCAAGGAGATAAATAGATGAAAACAAATTTCTACAAATGGGGGTGGGGGGAAGCCATGTATGGTGATAATTCAATCTTATCTATAAATAAAAAATCATACATTCTTACACTCTTATTCTTAGCTCTATGTTAAACTTATTTCAAGTCTAAAATACTGGTGACTAATGTGAACACCCGACTCCTGCGTTTCAGAACCGCCTAATGACGTTCTACACAGACTACAGTAAGGGCCCTGCTACTTGTTACCCGACTTGTGTAACAAACTGTTCGCTCTATACAGACATTCTTTTCCTCTTTTTAATATTAACCTTACCAGTTTTAAAATATTTATCAGTAGGTTACTTGGTTCAGAATATTGTGAAAAATTCAGCTAGGAAATTATTCATAAAACTGTATTCTGTATTTTATTTTTCAAACAGCCAGTGTCCACATTTTAAATGCAGAATTTGCAAATATAAATTAGTCTAATAATTCAATTAAAAATAAAACAAAAACAAATTCCTTTAGTATCACAATACATAAAATGGTATTATAAACGCCAAATGGCAAGGTTTACTACATGACAATAATGTCAAGAAGCTTTGAAACTCATTAAACCTCTTAATGAACAGGTCAGTTTAAAGAACATTTCTCTGTTCCATGATTATGCATGAAACAAGCTTTCACTATATTATGAAGGCTCAGCAATTTATTCATGGCATAATATGGGGTCAAGCAAAATTTTATTTTTACAATGACAATAAAAAACGCATTTAAACAACAACAAAAAATCCTCCCAATTGTTTAAAAACAATTCTTTTTGGAGGGTAAAATGTATTTTAAATATATTGACTTACCGAATTTCAACTGCCAAGCTGCTGACCACTGATGTAAAAGTTTGTATTTAAAAATATCACAAACATCATTTAACAGTGAAAATTTCAATGTGGTAAGTTTCATTGCAAAGCAATTTTCACCTGAGTAGACTTTGAAATTTAGTGCTCATGTTTGGAGGGGGGGAAAGAAAGACCCACTGGTGTCAGATACTGAGTTTGTAGTTCTTTCACAATGATTTCCCAGAGGGCTGAAGAAACATCAACTATTACCTTCCAGGACATATATGATGCCCCACCCCCCTTCCTCCAATAAATTTGTTCTGGCATTTTATAAATTCTCAGTATCCATATTCTTGTTTAACCACTTAAGCACAGCAACTCAAAATTCATTCAGTTCTATACAACAGTGTCTATATTATGTACATGTTTAATTATCAAGAGGAAATAGAAAATAAAATTTACAGTGATTGAGAAAGGGTCAGAAAATGGGATAGGAAAAGTAATACTGTATAATCAGAATATCCTATTATCCTAGCAGTTTCAATGATAAGGTTTTTCCTTTATTAGTCGAAATACAAAGAAGGCATAGGGGATCCCAGGAAAATAACACTATATATCAGAAAATTCAACGTGCTCCACCATCAGGATTTCCATTACACATTTAATTTCTTCTGTACAATTTTTATAAACTTGTTTTTCTTTTCAAAGTCATCAGATTTCCAGATTAAATTCAGCACTACACAGTATGCCCTTGAAGTAAAATGAGGTTACCTGCTTTATTTGGATACCAAGTTCCCTTCCAGACAGCATTAAAATAAAGACAAGTAAGACTACACAGATAAAATCCAGTATAATTCAAATCCAACAATGAAAAATTTCCCCCATATTGTTGCAAAATTCTTTCTACTGAAATGCTTTGCTACAATAATAAAAAGCATACATTACATATAAAAGATACCAGTGTACTAAAAAGTGACAGAAGTGGACTAGCAAATCCTTCAAAGCACATTATATAAATGACTAGCATTTAAAAACATTTTCCTATAAAATGTAGGTCATATACATTTATAAATTGGCGAGTTTATTTCTAAAGCAGTGATGTGTGTGTGTTCAAATAGTTAGCTGTTCTGTACAGTATAATATCTACTCAATTCAAACTACAATAGGTTTGTCTTTCTTTGTATTAAGTTGAATAAATTCATCTGATCAGCTGAGAAACCAAGGTTGAAAAATAAGTATCTAAAAATCAAAGTAGAAAGTTCAGAATTGTTGAAATGTAGCTATGAAATATGAAGAGAACTATTTCACAATGGAGCTGAAATCACCTCAAAACTTATGGGCTTGAATCTAAAACAGAAACAAATATTAAAATCCAAAGCAAACCACAAAGTTAGGTAGCAGTACAGAAGCAGGAAAAAAACCCACAGCCCCTTCCTTCAGTGTGATGGGCACTGAGTTCTGCAGTCTTCCTCCATCGTGCAGAAGAGTGGTAAGGCCATTCAATGCTTAGTGAGAGTGAGTACAGATGAAGTCAGATTTAGCCTGTCTCCCCTGCAACTTCAATTATGCTGTGTAAACAGTGTTACGTTCCAAAAGGAGGAACAATGGAATTTGCTTATAAAAACTGATTAAAGATAATCATTATTAAATGAAATAAAGATAATAACTCTGAAATGTTTTTAGAACTTTCCTGAAGCTACTTGTAAAGTTAGCACTGCTATGTATTATTGCTTACATACAGTACAACATCATATGCCTTCTAACATAAAGCAGTACTGTGATTTGTTTGTACATATTTACAGATTCTTAAAAACAAGCTGTAAAAACATTACATACTTTCAGACAATACAAATTAGCACATTGGTACTCACTTCAAAACAAATGGAATGCATAACATTAATAAAACATCATAAAGGAAGACTCACATAAAAGTCCTTGATTGTCAAGACACGTTTATATATAAACTCTAACTGTGCAGAATTAAAGATTCAATCATAGGTACATCCTTATTTGATGAACCATATTTACAGCATGGTATTGCATAAAAAAATAAAATAATGTTTACAGGGTTTTACTTTTTTATCCATTGGATTAAAGAAAGCAACAAACACAATAAGAAATGTTTGTCTGCTGTAGTTTTGTTTCCTACTAAAGTTTAAGTGAAAGAGGAAACATCTGTTTTTTATTTGCAGAATATAGCAAAAACTGGAAAATTATTTCCCTGAAATAAAGCAATTTGAAACGGAAAAAGTTTAAATTAAATTGCAGAGTCAAAAAGTTTCTCATCGATTATAATAGTGCTTCAAGTAAATATACTGTGAAAAAACGAGTTCTAGTTTAAAATGTCTAAGAAATGTAGTTTTACAGTAATGCCTACTTTTAAGTTTCCCGGCTTTTTTTTTTTTTAAACAGCCCTTTAAAAACCCAAATTAATAAAATGAAAGAAGTGGCAAAAGATCTAACCTAGCTGGCACTTTGCAAGCTTCTCTGGCCTGTGGAAATGAAAGCCTACCCTGAGCACAAGGCCTCTTTTGCCTCTCAGAACGAGAAAATTACCCGACCACTGGCAGTCCTCACTCAGCCAGAGCTAAGAGGATGGATTTCTGCGGTATCAACTAGAAAATCTGCAAGCAGATCCAAATTTAAGAGCCACTTCAAATATTCTGAACTAAATGAAATATGTATACAGTAAGTTAAAAAACAAACGCGCTTTTAGAAGATGTTCAAGAGATATTACTTCATCTAATGTGATCTGTTTCCAATCTTCAAATGTGAGAACAGGTCCTAAGAAAGCACACCTCGGCTCACATTTTGCCAAGTTTAAGGATGTAAGAGCATGTTTTCATAGAACAATTTGCTCACCAAAAGAAATGAAAAAACAAAACAAAACCCAAATTGCAAAAGGATATCCTCAATATTCTGATTTAAAGGCAGCACAAAAGGCTACTTGCTTTCTCTATTAATGCCCAGATAGAAATTAAGTAACTTTCTGAAGCAAAATGGGGAAACCCAACTGTTGAGATGTTTATCATATGATGATAATATTAATACACGGTAACTCTGGTAGGCATGTAAAATTTCACAGTAAAGAGAGTAATGACTATACTTTAAGTGGTAAGTCAGTAAATTATGCCAAAGTATCATTTACCTCAAAATATGCTTCAAATGTGGTAGAAAAGTCTGCCATTATGTAGATGTAAAGAAATGAGGCGAACACAGAAATGCAACACCTGAACTTCTTTCTACTTGCATTGACTGCCACTTTTCAAAGGCTTACTGCTCAGCAGTAGAGCCACATTCTAAAAACTGTGCTGGTGATGTTAACATAAACCAAAACCCCCACTTTATTCTGTACCAAGTTCTCAACAGAACAGAAATTCTGATCAGGCTCAAAACAAAAAAACAACTCAGGACATCAATACCTATTATCACCCAATAAGTAGTATGAGAAAAGCACAAATGCCTATTCCTACAGAGAGCACAGTTTCATTGTTAACATCTCGCCTGAATGATGACTTCTTGAGGTTGTGATGTGCAACGCAAGACACACCATTCTTAAGAGTCAATAATGGCAAAACTTAAATATATACTTCAAAGAAGTCTAAAATTCTTGAAAAATTTGGCAGCAAAGAAAGCTGTCAAATGGGAAAGTTTCAAGCAAAGTTTAATAACCAAAGTATAGAGGAAACCACATTAAACATAATTTATATTCCTTATCATAAAATACCATATATTCAAAATAAATGTAAAAGATGTTAAGGTTAGATATTTCTTTGTTCCCTTTCTTTATGAGAACAGTCTTGGGATAACATTAAATAAAAGAAAAAATAATTTAAAATGTAGAACATTCTATACTGAAACAAAGACTGAAGATCTATAAGGCCAATATAAAAGCTAAAATGGAAATTAATAATAAAGTTGCATCTTCAAGGGGTTATTAATTTTAGATTACTGATGCTCTATCAGTATGTGTGCATTGTGACAAAGATGGTGGAAACTTAAAATAAAAAACCAAAAAGTTGGAACAAATTAAAGAGGATAATAAAATCAATATAACTGTTATTTTCCAAAAATTAGAACTGTCCAATGTGTAACTCAAACCATCATTCTTTAGAAAAGTATATATATATATATATATAATATGTATATATATAAAAGCACTATTTATTGTACCATGCTGTATTAAGACAAAATATTAAAAAAAAACATTCGTGGTATAAGGATAAAGTCTGTAGTTTATTTAGATTTTGAAATGCAACAAAAGGTTTCCGATCACTCATCTAGCTGAAAAAGAAACTGTAGTTACTAGAATTAGTAAACACTTTTGGTTTGTAAAATTGTAATGAGCAGTGTTCATTAAAAAGTAACTCAAGATAAAATAAGCAATTAAAATGCCCATTTCTTTAGTTTCTCTGGATACTGTTTAATTATCCAATCTATCAAGATTCTAGAAAGAGAAGGATTAAACCAGATTTTACAGTTCCAAAGATACCCAATTTCCTTTTATTGCCAAAAATTAAAATTTTCAATTATGAGATGATTATGACACAACCATATCAAACCTAAAAATCTAAAATTTTTTTTTACTTTGAGAAATCAAAAATACCAAATAGATTCTAAGTGCTCTATGTTAACTGAAGTGTATATGTAAAGTAAAATACAATTAAGCTTTAAAACGTGGAATATACATTTTGTATAAGCATTATGTTCTTGGGAATGTAATCTACAGAGGATCTTCTTACTAAAACTTCAAAACCTTGATACTTGCACATGAAAAAATCATAAAAAATATCTAGGTACAACTGTACAAAGAAACTGACACCAATATGCATACTTCCATATAGAAGTGAATGCTTCAACAGTTATGTATTTTGGTAAAAGTTTTGAAAGTATGCATATTTTTTAAAGTAATTAGGCTTTTAAATAGTGGAGTCTTAGACTATCAGATTTTTATTACTTTTCAAAAAAGAAAAAGTCAATATAATGCAAAATGAAAATCAAGGGTATATGGCATATCATTCTTTAAAAGGTGGTTTCTTTTTTCCCCTCATAGGACACACTAATTTATTTAAGCCATAATCTCTGACATTTAAACTTTTAAGTTCACTCTGTCTGTAAAGTATACTCAGATTCCCTGCTGAAGTGCCATGACTATGCTGAAAAACTTAGAAACAGTATGAGTAAATTTCACACAATTACTAATCTCCTAAGAATGTACAATGATATCAGTTAGGAAACAATTGTGCGAAAGTCTTTTTTTTTTTTTCCTTTTAAACTTGGTGTAGGTGGAATAGCAAGTTTCTGATCTAAAACAAGTAATGCATTGCTTCTGTAAAGGTGACAACATGTAAGGCAGTTCAAAGAATGCTGACTAACCAAACAAAACGCAGTTATTGGATTATCTTGCTATTCATATCAGCTTAACTTGTTATAACGCATTGCTCTTAAATCTGTACAGCACTCCATTTTACACAGAGTAACCCCACTCTTGATTAATCTGTTCTAAAGTGCCAGTATTATTTACACTTTTTTTTTTTTTAGCCAAAAGTCTGGCCAGTTGTAGCATCAGGTGAGGATGTCATCCCAGCTCTATTATCATTTACATTCACCAAGGGAAATTCTGGAAATTCAGCACTTGTCCCTGGTCCCCGAAGGTTCACCTGTCCATTGGCAGTGCTAAACTGGGTAGCTATTCCAGCTCTGGATCCATGATATGGAGCACGGAAGGGTTGTTCAAAAGAGCTCATTTGGTAAGCTTGGTGGACAGGCTGAGCCTCAGCTTTCTTCTGAGAAGTCACTTGATCCAAAAAGTCCTGTGTTGATGTGGCAGAAGCATGGTTTGTCTCATCACCTGAAAAGGGAAATGAGTGCTGTGAATCACCAACTATGAGTCCAAAGTGGGACTTATCCGGAGTTGTTCTTAGTGGAGAATTCATTCCTGATCGAAAGCTATTGATGGGCATGGCTGCATAGACTTGCTTGTCTATGGAAGAGAATGCTGGCTGATTTGGAAGGGTCTGGTTATCAGTCACAAAGTTAAGGCTCGGGCTATTCAAATAGGCATCATTTTGGCTAGTTCTGTCCAAAGCCTGCTGCAGAAACTTTGAGTATTCCTGCAACATGTTGGCTTTATCTGATGAGGATGCTTGGGAGCTTGATCCAACATTCTCCGACTGGGTAACCTCAGGTACTTCTGAAGAATTTATTGATATGCTAGAAGTCACCTCAGTGTCCGCAACACTGAATGATATCTCATGCTGTCCATTAGCTTTATGGGAATAATGATCCAACAGAGTCTGTAGTACCTCATCTGGAATAACATTTTTGTCATGATTACTCTTTATCTCCACATTCAGTGCCTGTGAATCTAATATGGATGCTGTGGTACTCTCATCAATGACACTTGCCACAGCCGCTTGCGTTACAGAAGGCTGAGAAGCTATAGTGCCCACATTCAGCGCATACTCCCTACTATTGTTACTTGCTGCCTGAAGATACCGCTTCTTCTTCAAAAACTGCATGGCATCATCATAGTTAGTGCTACTGTGCACAGGTTTACTGGGCCCCTCTTGCAAATTGTCAACCTGGTCAATATCAGCATTGCCTTCTGAGTCCAGTAAAGCTTGTTTGTCCACAAGTTCAAAAGCATATTTTGAAACTTTGCTCTCTTCGTATGTGGATAAAGGTGAAATTGTTTGATTCTGCTCCAATGGCTGTTTCAGACTTCTCTTACTATTAATTTTTTTGAGAACCAACTTAGGTGGATGTATTTCTCCTGATGCATCTTCTAAATGCGATCCCCCAACTGAGGAATGTGGCATTTCCACAGCATACTCTGCTACCATATACTCATCTTTCACTTTAGTACTTGAAGAGTAAAGAGGCAAGTAATCATTTTTGTCTTTCTTCAGGTCAGATTTGTCCAAAGAACTCTCTTTGTCCATCCCAGATGATTTTTTCTCAGTTTTCTGCCTTTTCTTTTTTGGCAGTGAGTTATCTTTTGGTGATGTAGAAAAGCCAGAATCTTCCTCAGATGTCAGAAGGCCACCTTTGATGGCACATCTGTTTAGTTTTTTATCATGATTTTCATGGCACATACGTTTATGTTTCAAAACACGATCTGTTCTGGAAAAATACTGTCGAATTCAAAGTTCAGAAGAGAGTTTTTTGTTTTAGTTTTGTGTTTTGGTCAACCAAGAAAAGAAAAGAAAAAAAGCAATTAATATAAAGATAGATATAAGTGTAATAATATGAGCAACTCTAAACTAATTTCCTGAGCCAACTATTATAAATTGAATCAACAACAGTTAGGAAATTCTTCAAATAGCTTTACTAACACTGTCTAATTTAATTCTTAAGAAATATTTTATAACTGAATTCCAGACAGAAAACTTTCAATGTCAGTCATGCCTCAATAAAGTGACTTTTTAAAAAATTCAAACCACATCTTACCTGTAAACAGTATTCACACTGGTAAGGTTTTTCTCCACTATGAGTTCTCTTATGCCTTTCCATATGATATTTTTGAATGAATCTCATACCACATTCATCACAACGAAATGGTTTTTCACCTAGTATATGACACATAAAGTTTAAAACAAAACAAAAACTATGAAATATAAGTTAATGAATTACTTTACTACAAGAATCTCTAATAAGTTACTTTACCACAAGAACGCTGCCATACTTTGTTCTTTTTAAATAACATTAAGTCTTTATTCTAAATATATCTTCCAATTTATTTTGTCAAGAATATCTTGCTTTACAAAAATGAAAGACAGTGGCACATGCCATTGAAAAGACAAGACTGAAAGCACACATACTCAATTTCCCGGCATTTTATTATATGTATGCATAACATACTCTTTCTACAGAGACCAGTATTACTAAGAACTTAACAGTAATATGAACAGGTCTCAGTAGAGTGGCTAACATCTCTAATCTTTTTTTCAATCATACAAAAAACATTTTAGAAAAATTTTTGAAAAAGAAAAGGTTACCCATACACAGACCAACACAATTCTTGAGTATTATATCTTTTTAAATTAATATCTTTTCAAAGATTTTGTGGTTAAATAAAATCTAAATCCTAAGAAAATATATTTTAAATCTAATTTATTAAAACATAAAACGAGTCACCTAATTAAACTTAAAAACATAAAACAAGTGTAAATCAGAGACTAGGTTTTAAAAGTAATGTTTGTTTATACTGATTCTCTTTTCCTCAACTCAAATGAGCATTTTTCAAGTCCTTCTGGGAAAGAATTAAAATGAGCAATGTTGACTGGACACAGAACCCCCACCCCACCTCCAATTTTTTTTTAAATGACAAAAGGACTTCTTAGCTTGAAGGAAGCATCTTATGAAGATCTAAAAGTTTTTACTGATAAAGCCACAGCCTACATAAACAGAAGAAGTCACACAAGCCTACATAAACACAAGAAGTCACACCCTTCACCTGTTTGGAAAACCACTGCTTCTACTTTTCATATAGTCAACAAAAATTTTACTGAATTCTTCTCCTCTACCCATAATCCCTCTGTAAGAGGTTAAAAGTTTAAGACTTGTTACTTGTCCTCAAAGCGTTTATAACATAATTGGGAAAACATGATACAAATATTACAAAGGAACAACTAACAAAACTATATCCAGCTCTGGTTTACCTTTACAACTTTATAACCCACTAGCTCTCTTCTTGACCTTTTCCTCCAGTCAAATTGAAGAACCTACCATCCTCATGCTTTCCTACTTGTGCCTGCTTCATGCTGCTCCTAAAGTCCACTTCTGTGTTTTCAGGTACTACGCTTCCCTCCAGGACCAACCCATCTGCTCAAAGGGATACTTTGCCCTATTCTCCCAGAGGAAAGGTATTTATCTTCTTTGTTGTTGTTGTTCAGTTGCTAAGTGTCTGACTCTCTGCGACCTCCAGGACTGCGGGACTGCAGCACACCAGGCTTCCCTGTCCTTCACTATCTCCTGGAATTTGCTCAAACTCATATCCATTGAGTCAGTGACGCTATCCAACCATCTCATCCTCTATCGTCCTGTTCTCCTCCTGCCTTCAATCTTGACCAGCATCAGCGTCTTTTCCAACGAGCTGCCTCTTCGCATCACGTGGCCAAAGTACTGGAGCTTCAGCTTTTGCATCAGTCCTTCCAATGGATATCCAGAGTTGATTTCCGTGAGGACTGACTGGTTTGATCTCCTTATAGTCCAAGGGACTCTCGAGAGTCTTCTCCAACACCACAGTTCAAAAGCATCAATTCTTCGACACTCAACCTTCCTTATGGTCCAACTCTCACATCTGTACATGACGACTGGAAAAACCATAGCTTTGACTAGATGGACCCTTGTCAGCAAAGAGATGTCTCTGCTTTTTAATATGCTGTCTAGGTGTATCATAGCTTTTCTTCCAAGGAATGTCTTTTCATTTCATTAAATTATCATCAAATTATCTTCTTTAACTTGCCACAGAACTGTAGCTGTACCTTTCCTAAGGCACTCATTACTTTCATCTCAATAATTAGTCTACAACTCTACTCTTTTACTAAATTTCTTTAGGTCAGAATCGGGACCCAAATTATCTTTATGTAGCTCAAATTACTTTGGGCAATTTTTTAAGTGCCACATGAATGGCATAAAGGATTATTATAGAGGCTCATTAGTGGAAAAAGACATTATCATGAACTGGTATGATTTGGAAAAGTTTCTTGGAAGTGTCAGACTCTATGCTGAGCAGTCATTAAAAAGATTGTGTATATGTGATTAAAGCCAAGAAAAGAATATTTAGTGGGGAATAACAAAGCAAATAAGGGTTTAGATATTATAAGATATACTGGAGAATCACAACAAACTGTGAAAAATTCTTAAAGATATGGGAATACCAAACCACCTGACCTGCCTCCTGAGAAATCTGTATGCAGGTCAAGAAGCAACAATTTTCCAGTAGTCATGTATGGATGTGAGAGTTGGACTATAAAGAAAGCTGAGTGCCAAAGAATTGATGCTTTTGAACTGTGGTGTTAGAGAAGACTCTTGAGAGCCCCTTGGACTTCAAGGAGATCAAACCAGTCAATTCTCAAGGAAATCAGTCCTGAATATTCACTGGAAGAACTGATGCTGAAGCTGAAACTCCAACACTTTGGCCACCTGATGCAAAGAACTGACTCATTGGAAAAGACCCTGATGCTGGGAAAGATTGAGGGCAGGAGGAGGAGGGGATGACAGAGAATGAGATGGTTGGATGGCATCACCGACTCGATTGACATGAGACTGAGCAAGTTCTGGGAGTTGGTGATGGACAGGGAGGCCTGCCATGCTGCAGTCCATGGGGTTGCAAAGAACTGGACACGACTGATCGACTGAACTGATACTGGAGAAATGGTGCCTAAGAAGAGACTTTAACATGGCAATAAGTCAACTATTTGAAACTTTCAAGAATGCAGCTTCTGTAATTGCTATGGAGTTAACTAAATTTTAGGGCTGAAGGAACTTTGCAATGACTTCAAACTGTCCTCCTGGGAGCTCCACAGAGGCCCCCAAAGGCTAATATGGCAAATGGCTCTACGCTTCCACCCAGAATTCAGGAGCAAATAGCTCCACTTCTGTACACAGGGGGCCTGAGTAAGGACGCCAAGGGTTTAGAGACTAGAATGAAGAACCTAACACAACTAACCTCTACCAATTTACTTATCATTACAAAAACAAAGTCCAGAAAAGTTAAGGTACTTGTCCAACAAAAGCTGGGAGAGAAGACCACTTACTAAGAAGCTTCAAAGTGAAAGAAATGAGAAAAAGGAGGTGAGAATAGACAATCCATTCAAGACTAAGAATTGTTAAGGGTAGGGAACTTAACTAAAACTGAAATGGACTATTATGGTGACTAATCAAAAGAACAAGATCTCAGAGGAAGTAGATTGAAAAGGGAGAATACAAGTATTATTTTTTAAAAGGTAAGAATAGATGCATATTTTGAAGTAAAAAGATGTATATGATAGAAAACATTAAGATCAGAAGTTAATTAAGATCATTTTTCAAAAGTGAGAGAGGATAAATGGAAAATTAGTGAATGAATTAGAATTCAATTAATTCTCCATGATAAGACTTTAATATTGTTAATAATGATATAATACCTCACACTGGTCAAAGTAGAAGCTGACAAACTGATCCTAAAATTCAAATGGAAATGCAAGGGATTCAGAACAGCTAAAGCAATTTTGAAAAAGAAAACTCAGATTTCCCAACTTCAAAACTTACAGCCAAAGGCATAAGGAGACATATATATGAAAGAATAGAACTGAGAGTCTAAAAATAATCTTTACATTTACAGTTAACTGACTTTTCATTATAGTCGCCAAGATATTTCAGTGGGGAAAAAGTCCTTTCAACAATAATACTGGGACAATTTGATGCCTATATGCAAAAGAATGGGATTGGACCTCAACTTCACATTGCATACAAAAATTAACTCAAAATAGATCATAGGCGTACGTAAATGTGAAAACTACAACTATAAAACTCTTTAATATATGAATAACTCTTGACTTTAGATTATGTAGGCAATGACTTCTTAGATATCACACCAAAAGCATAAGCAACCAAACATAAAATAAATAAAATATACCTCATCAAAATGAACCTTTGTTCTTCGAAGGACAGTATCAACAAAGTGAAAAGACAAAATGCCGTGGTAGCTGCTGTGAGAAATAGTTTGCCGAAATGTTAAACTTAGAATTACCATACAAGCCAACAGTTCTACTCCTAGGTATACACCCCAAAGAACTGAAAACAAGTATTCATTCAGAAGTTTGTATACCAATGCACATAACAGCATTATTCACAACAAACAAAAGATGGAAACAACCCACGGGTCCATCAACAGATGAACAGATAAACAAAATGTGATATATACAGAAGATGGAATATTTTCCAGCCACAAAAAGAAATGAAATTCTGACACATGATATAACATGAATGAACCTTGAAGAAATTATACTGAGAAAGAAGCGAGACAGAGAAAGAACAAATACTGAGTGATTCCATTTATATGAAATACCTAGAATAGGCAAATTCACAGGGATAGAAAGTAGAATAAAGGTTACCAGGGATTGGAAGAGAGAGGGAGGGAGGGTTACTGCTTAAAGGCTACAGGGTTTTGTTTGTGTGTAATGTTGTTACACAATGTCATAAACGTATTTCATGCCACTGCACTGCATCCTTAAAAATGATTTAAATGGTAGATTTAGTTACAGTTTTTTTTTTCTTATAAGGTGAAAAGACAATCCTGGAATGGGATGAAATATTTTCAAATCATGTTTCTTAAAAGGGATGTGTAACTAGTATATTAAAAAAGCAACCCAAAAACCACTTACAACTCAACAGTAAAAAGACAAATTATCTAATAACAAGCAATGGATCTGAACAGACATTTCTCCAAAGAAAATACACAAATAGCCAATAAGTACATAAAAAAATGCTCAACATCCTTACTTATTGTGAGTGTGAGTGAAGTTGCTGTCGTGTCAGACTCTCTGTGACCCCATGGACTGTAGCCTATCAGGCTCCTCCATCC